CGTGTAGAGTCGGCCTTAAAAGTTAAATTGAAAATTATTAAATACACTACCATACACCATATACGGGAGTCACCCTGTTTGGAAATCAATCTTAAAGGATATCGGTGCAGTCCTGTTGTCCCCCCTGGCTAGGGGAGACAACAGGACTAGATTTTCAATCAATGATTTGAGGACTGTTGTCCCCCCTGGCAAACATTGGGTATTTAGAAGCCACATATTTTTGTAACATTTAAGAAGTACTGGAGTACCTACCTGACTAAATGCCATATTGACAAACTAAATACCTAATCGTATGTCAAATAATAATTAACATCTTGTTAACGAAAGAAATATAAGTTGTTGGTACCGGTAATATTTCTGACTATTCCAAAATCTCTTGCTTTTAACAGATCGTTATGAATTATCCCTACTAAATAATATTATACTCGTAAATGCTACAGTATTTTATCTGTCTGTCTGTTACGAATTCACGCATAAACCATTGAACCGATTTTGATATTTGGTAAAGAGATTTTTGAGTGCCGGGTCCCGGTTTTTTAAACAGGAATGCGCTCTATATTTTTTTTCTGTGACAGACAAAATTTTACGCGGACAAAGCCGTGGGCAAAAGCTAAGTATAAAGCTTGACAATATTTTTTATTCTCATGTATAAAAAATATTGTCTTCTGTAAAGTTGACTAAAAATCCGTTTATTAGGTAGTTTTTACGTGAAAGAGTATCAAACATCGATACTATTCCATACTCCCATTTGTAATATTAGTAGGTAAGACGCTAAAACTGCATAATTTGAAATTAGTCATAATATTCAACAAATTAATTGCTCAGTGATTCATCATTCAACTAGCGGCCGCCCGCATCTTCGTACCTACGCGTGGACTCCGTTTTACCCCCTTATGTGTGGAATTTCGTAAAATAATAATATGTTTCGTATTATTTCCTATCCTTAAATAAATAGATAAATAAAATTCGTTCTTGGCAGATGTTTACACCCTATAAGGAATCTACCTGCTAAATTTCAAGTTTGTAGGTGTCAGTACCGGCACCAACCTTATTTTTTTCGTTATCAAAATGGTAATTATTATTTAACAAACGTTTAGGTATTCACTCATTTTGGGAATTTGACATTCAGTCAAGTACTTCAGTATTTCACAAATTATGTTATAAAAATACATGGCTTTTAAATAATGTTTGCCAGGGGGGACAACAGCCCTCAAATCCTTGATTGAAAATCTAGTCCTGTTGTCTCCCCTAGCCAGGGGGGGACAACAGGATTTCGAAATCCTGTTGGCTCCCCCAGGGGGGCCAAGCAGGGGGGACAACAGGACTGCACCAAATCTCCGAGTATAGTCTTTAGCTAGCCCACAATGTTCTTTTGTACGAATGGCATTCCGAAGTAGCACACTAGCCTAGTCATTTAGGCCATGGAGGTCGAACATTATACACTAAATTACTTCTTAAATAGTTTGATTACCTACCCCCGTTGTTTATTGTCGCCAATATTGCGCGGTGCCGCCGCGCCCCTTGCAACGTTTAAGGGATTCTGTTTAGATTTTTCGCTGAAATGAGGATGAACGTGACAAGTTTAGATGATCTCATTTGGGCTTTATTGAATTTCAGGCATCCAAGATATTGACTTATATTTTTTCCCAAAATGTTGTGTTTTTCAATGATAATACTCGTACATCTTTACTTATACTGTGACTATGTTATTGGCATTGTTTTAAATGAAGATCTTTTCATGAAGTTGGCCCTTTTTGAAGCCTTCTATCTTCTGAAATACTTGTGGTAGACGTTAGTTGATTTAAAAAAAAAATTGTAGGTAGGGTAAGTTTATAGTAAGTAACATGCAGTCATTTGTACTATCTGAACTTAACTGCCGTAATATGACTTATAAAAACAAAACAATATCGCACTATTTTGCATAGCTGCGAAACATTTTTCCAATTGTGTACATACCTACTACTTTTGTTTTATACATGCTTATCATTGTTTCCTGCTGTTTTCTTATCATTGTTAAGCTGAAACTTTGCTATTTTATTTGTGTTAAGTGTATTCATATAAATAATTGATCTATTTTGCATAATAATTCCAGCACTCATTGTAGCCTACTCAACAACGTCTTAACAAATCTTACGCAAACCTCGAATTTCAAAGCAGGAAGTCGCAAGGGTCGTCACGGCGTCCGTTCATCTGAATATCGGACGGTCGGATATTACATTTGCTAACCCATTTGTACCCGTCGCTGGTCGCTCCACAATCATTATACATGTCCAACCCGTCTCTAGGGAGCTCCCTTAGGAATCCCTCCAAAGGTCCCTATTGATTCCCTCCGCGTTCACTCTTAAATTCGAACTGATAATGGCCGGGACACTTTATAGGACACATGTGAGCCTTATTGAATCCACGATGGTGTTTTCCAAAGTCCAATTGCCTGAGTTTAGTGAGCGATAAAATTATTAAGGGTCATCGGAGGACGAGACGCTTTTTTGTAGGGGAGAGTCCAGGTAGAAATATTAGGTGGTAGGTTTTGTGTTCTGGAATGAAAATGGTTTTGCTTCTTTTATTGAATGTTGTTACTTGTTTTAATTTTTTTTTGTAAGTAATAAAATCAATAAGTATGGTCTTCTTACAATCAAAAGAAGCATATGGCTAAGCTAAAGAACAAATCTCGTCCTGCGAGATTTCAGGATTTTCCCACCGTAATAATAATGCCTATGTTTATTTTTGAGAAAAGTTATGAAGAACAATGGCACGTTAAAAAATACATAACTCTAAAAAGTAATTGAAAAAAAGGTCACGACGGAAAACGTAAGTGTTTCCAAATCCGCCGGCGCGTGAGGTTTTTATTAAAAATATTGTCGAAATGTTACGTCGTGCAGTCAAACAGAAATGGTCGGTGTAATGTATCTTTACCCCATTTGCTGGGTCCTTTGTGGAAGGGTGTAGAGTAACGAGCGTGCCCACTTGTAGGGTGCCCCTACATGCTTTATTATTTACGACTTTTGCCCTTTATGTATGTTTTTAAGCTAAGATTTTATTGCTGTGCTATTCATGAGTTTAATCCGTAGCAATCTCGGCAGAGAGTTTTCCAGTCATAAATGCATTTTATGTGGAAGCGTCGTATAATGGTTCGCTATTTTCATAACAAATGTCGGAGAAGCCAAGCAAATTGCGTCTCATCTTCTTTGTGTCTTGCTTAAATCATATAGTGACCATAATATTATACTTATGCCCGTTTTCACCATCAATTTCCAAATTTTTAAGTGACACCTATGAAAACAAAATTCCTGTTAATGTGTTACTATAGGGGTCACTTAAAAATTAGGGATTGATGGTGAAAACAGGCCTAAGTCACCTTCCTTCGTCTCACAAACATTTGTTCAATAATTCAATCCGACAAATGCGTCAATATTCTCACATCAAAGTAAACACGGGAGCAGTAAAAGACGGGGTTCACCCTTGCCGAATTAACTTAACATGCCATCGACATATCGCGTAACACGTAACGGCCTGTTCGCAGGGGCGTCTTACCATTATCTGAGATGCAGAAAATAGTGCAATTTTCGGTGGTAATTGCCGTTTTTGGGGTAGAAAGATGCGTGCGATTGGAGCTGGGATCCGGTAGACATGAAGGATGTGAATCCGGAGTAATTTTAAAATTTTATTTTGTAAAATAATTGAACAACATTTACTTCAGAGGTTGCCTTTAATGATAAACAATTAAAACACCAACATCTAAGACTATATTACATTAAAATACATATCAACAAATACTACTGATTTACATGTAAAAAGCATTTGACGATTTGTAAGAACTATTTAATTGGATATTTTTCATTTTGATTTTATTATTAACTAGTTATAACTAATCTTTCATTACAAAGTTAACAACCAATAATATAATAGATGTTATAATTAGGAAACTTTGGATTTTTTTTATAATACTTAAGTTTATTTAGTCATAGGCCCGTATTCTAAAATCACGCATGGATTTGAGTGTCTATCATACTGGCCTTAGTTTCCAAACTATAATTCTATTGATTCGTCATGACCGGGTAAGATATTAGGATCAAACGCGCGGGCGGGGGCAAACAGGCCGCGGTGGCTAACCAACCATGCTTAGTGACTGGGGTGACTCTTGACGCTGGGTCTGTCGCGAAACTTTACTTATTTACTACTGTAGGCATTATCAACTGGATTGGTCTAGTTTTCGTTTTGAAATAGAGTCTGTTTGATAAATCCCAAACGCAATATATAATTCTAGAACCAGTATAGGTTGGTAGCCATAAGTTGGCTCAATTTATTAATCGATTTAACGTCCCCGAAGCACGTACCTTCATTAATATTCTAATTAATGTTACATAGTTTTTAATCATACTTACCTACAGACAATGATGCTGGCCAAAATCCTTTTACAACAGTATTCACAAACATTACTATGAGGTCTCACAGTGCGCGTGGACGCACAGGGTGACACACGAACCAATCACAAAGCTCTATTCAACGCTGTGCGTTTGATTTTCATACGGGCGTTAGTGTCCTAAGCAAATATTAAGAGCTTTACTATGTCCAACCTGAAAATCGAACAACGCAGAACATCTGAGTTTCGAAAATTCTAACTCACAAAATCACTGAGTAGCTAGTCTTCTTTTAGAATTCAAATAAGCTGCCTCAGAGAAAAAATCCGCATAAATCGTGCCCAGCAAATATGCAATGACCTATTTACAGCCAAAAGTAGCAACTGTATTGTCCGCATGACTTCCCACCCCGTTCCTCAATTGTGCGTATACCTGATGCGTGAGTTCTTTGATCCATCGCGTTTTGTCCTCATACGAAGTTCAAAGCACCGAAGTAGTTCACCTGCAAAATGGGTTTAAACCTTTGTTAAATCTGCTCTGTCATCTCATTGATCTTTGAGGAAATGAATTAGGTTTTATTACTTTTGAGTTCCTTGAATAGCTAGGTTATGTGGTAGATGTGTGCTGTGAAACGTAGCGCGATTTCACTCGCTTTGGTACAGCCGACGGCATGTAAAGCTAAACGCTGTGGTTTCTTATAGGGTTGTAATAGATTCTATTTTGCAACGTCACTGTACACATTTCATGCGTAACGTAATGCAAGTAACACAACTTACTTATTTTACCACCCTGAATCTCAAGTGATTCAATGACTGTCGATATCATAGAAAGTATATAAATGTAACATTCTATTGTCTACAAATAAAACGTTATTCAGTTGTTTCAGATAACATTACGACTATGCTCCCGACGGCAGTGCCAACGTTTCCCCCCAAAGACTGTCATCTAGCATGCCCCCACCTGTGTATGACTGACAGAGTTATGTGACGGATGTTGGTGTCGCCGGGACAGTTACATGGTTGTTAGAGTGATACAGTGGTAGACGATGCATTTGTCGAGTGAAGTGAGTTCGACTACGAGCGGGTTGGGCCACGAAGCCCCGTCGTCTAGTTACGGCAACGCGTTGCCGAGCCAGCCGTTGACTGCGGAGTTGCTAGCCGAAAGGACGCTGGAGGGGCTGTTGGCTGATCACCCGGGTGAGCTGGTGAAGACCGGGAGCCCTCATGTTGTGAGTAACTTCGCAATCTATACTTTTTGATCGCATCGTTAGTGGCTGTAGATAATAATCGATGTATTTCTGTCAAAATTTGAAGGTACAATACATACTTTTTTCACAATTACAATATTAAACCCATCGTAAAAGATGTTAGACTAGCCAACTCGAGACTCAAGTAGTGCTACTTAGAGGCCTCGCTACCAGCGGACTATTGTAATGAACTTACTCGTACCACAAGCTCAGCACGAGGGGTTAACGGAACTTTAAGTATTTATTTATTTTATTCAATGCAAAGTCGATGAAAAAAGAATTGATTTCAGATTTTTCAGTGTTAAGTCGTTAGAGCTGGATATCCATGTCATAATATTACCTTCTTAAAGAGTTATGTTTAAGAGCTCTTTCAATATAGGCAATTTGGCACTATTGCCAGTCAACCACATCCATGAGCAGCAGAAAGTTAAGGACGTATTAGGGAAGTCCCAAAGAACTGGCATGATTTCAAATTGTAGTTACAATTTATTGATTTATTTAGAGTAAGACAATGTAGGTTAGTAGTTTAAAAAAGTATTTCTAGTTTTATTTAGTCTTTGCAGCTGATATTAGGTCCATAAGTATGTTGTATACTATGAACTATTGTGCTGCTTTTGTTTATAATGTGACTTGTATTATAATCTCCCCAAACTCTCCAAAGTAGAGTCTAAAACTGTAGATTTACCGTAGATGTAGATTTTAATAAGTGAGGCTAAGGCTGGGTTGCACCATCTTACTTTACCTTTAACAAACGTCAAAACTGTCGAACTCCATACAAAAAGCACCGGTTATCGTTAAAGTTAGGTTGTGCAACTCAGCCTAAGAATCAACTATCATGGAATGATCTGTTTGACAAATGAACGAATTTATTGATGCATGAATCTACCCACAGGTTTGTACAGTCCTCCCCCCACACTGGCGGTCGAACAAGACCTTACCCGTGGCGTTCAAAGTGGTGGCCCTTGGCGACGTGGGCGACGGAACCCTGGTCACAGTCAGGGCTGGGAACGACGAGAACTGCTCTGCTGAGCTGAGGAACTGCACTGCGGTCATGAAGAACCAAGTCGCAAAGTTCAACGACCTGAGATTCGTCGGCAGGAGTGGCAGAGGTTAGTTAGATTGATTGTCATTTGTTTAGCGATTGTTGCACTTCAAATTAAAAAGAAATGAGAATTTGAATTTTTCCTTCGATTCTTAAAAATTGGCGGGAAAACATCACGTCATGCGTGATTGTTTTGTTTTGCACACACTTCCATTGAGATCACATTGAGATGGCGCTACGTCACGGTACACAGTGTGTTATGGGACTGTATAAACGGACATTCTCATTGATTCGATGAAACGTATAGAGCTCAGTTATACAAACATGCTTAGATTAATAAAACCTAGATGGATAGTCTTCATACAAACACTTCGTCAAGAGTGAGGCAAAAATCTTATGTCATTAGTGTCAATTTTGTTGGGGAGTGTAGACAGTGAAGGCGATTTTCCCGAAAGTAGGGAAATTTTTAATACGTTTTTAATAATTTTATAATTAACAAAAACAAAACGCATCATGTACTTACTTATTTATTGAATTCAAAGTACCTACCTAATAACAATAAGATAAATCGACTTCAAAGTCTCGATTTCATAAAAAAAGGAAGTGTATTTGTACGGCGAACAATTGGGAAATACATTTTCTTGTTACTGGTATCATTCCCGTATTTAATTTTTGAAAGCCAAATTCAAGCAAAATACACGTCGAATCGTAGTACTTACTTATGAAATGTAACATTGGTCACTTTCTTTTGTTTTTCTGATGTATTTTAGACACCCTTTCACAGCACAAACCGTTTTAATTAATTAAAATTCGTCGGACGTGTTTACCAATTTTTCACTTTGACAGTTCATGTGACGTTTACGGGTAAGCCGTGCCGGCTCCCTAAAAACTGCCTCACCTTTCGTGCACTGACTATCTATCTAGGTTTTATTAATCTAAGATATCACGGAGTTTAAAGCTGATTTTATTAATACAATTAGATTAAATATCAGACTATATCTTGCAATTAAAAATGTTTGCATATATTAAGGTATAATTGAGAAAAAAAATAAAAACAAAAATCACTAAAATCATTTTTCCTAATTAACTGAATGCGTTTACGAAGCACTTAATACAAATATTACGTGTAGTTTAAAGAGCTCTATGAAGTATTATAACAATTCTGAATTAAATGTTACTAGTTAACGAGTTAGAATATTTTTGCATAATTTTGAAGTAAAAAAATAGGTAACTTTGAATTTTGACACCGCGAAAACTACGTGAAATTTTCAAACGGGAGTTTTACTATCATGTTTGTATAACTGAGGTCTATACGTTTCATCAAATCAATGAGAATGTCCGTTTATACAGTCCCATAACACACTGTGCGGTACTACGTCATACTATTAGTAATAGCACAGTACATTTCACAGCAAAATGAAGAGTCCGTTGTGTAGTTACTTAAATTATGTAGTCTTACTTTGTAAAAGATCTGTGTGATNTGTCTTTCCCGAAAACTGTAATCCGGGCCTCTTCAAGGCGAGAGTGAATAAGCACTTACAGGGCAGATATGTACCATCCTAGACTGCATCCCACTTAACATCAGGTGCGATTGTGGTCAAATACCTGCCTTGTTATGCATTAAAAAAAAGCGTTTGACGTCCCAAAAACACCCTCCCGTGCCTCCCACATACCTCTGGTACTGACTGAGTTAACCGCTAGATCTATCGTTTGACTTTAGCATAGTAAACAATAGTGAAAGTTGAGAGCGTGCGTGACACGAGCAGCGGATTACGAAAATTAATTTAACTTTAAGTCACACGAAATAGGTAATTAAATGTTCGCACGCCAAAACAAAGGAGTTTGTAGCTCGTCAGTGAAACAGGGACAATATTTTTGATGGAGCGTAAGTTTTGTGTAACACCTATTCAACATTATTGTGAATGCAAACAAAGTATTAAAATATAGTCGCCAGTAACTTTGTGTTTCAAAGTGCTTTTGAAGCAAAATGAGGCTTTCAAATACCAAAATTGAATGATCAAACGAACTTACCAAGTGAAGTTCGATCTAAATTATCCTGTTTTCGCCGAAGAGATTTATTTTACCATGTAGTACCCCTGTACGACAACCCAATCCGCACACAATATTCAGCGTAGTAGTATTAAAAAACAAAAGAGCGGGCAACCCCACCCCTACCACGCTGTGGGCTCGGTGTCCGAGCGGTCTCATTATATTTAGAGAAGAGATGACATTGACGTTTACCTCCAGGGAAGAAGATATAGAAATCTTCGGGTTGGGAGGGACCTTAAATCTCTTCGGCGAAAACAGGATAATTTAGATCGAACTTCACTTGGTAAGTTCGTTTGATCATTCAATTCCGCAAAAATATAGAGCAATTCACGAAAAAGAGCGATTTGCATAACTTTAATACAAGAAACAAAAATAAACTTGCCGTTCCAAATTTCAGATTGCATAAGATTGGTAATTCATTTATGGGAAAATGTATTAAATTCTTTAATAAATTACCACAAACTGTTGTAGAACTACCCATTCATAAATTCAAAGCACATATTAAAAGTACCTTAATGAAAAAGGGCTACTATAAAGTCGATGATTATTTAAAAGATAAAAATGTTTGGGATACGTTACTGCCTAGCTCGCATAAATATTTATAACTTTGTACATTTTAAAGCATGTAAACCTTTGAAAAAGAGGCTGACAATAGTGACTGAGTTTCTTGCGCTGCTTCTTCTCAGCACTGGCCCATTTATTGTCCTGAAGCAGTGGTAGGGTTAATACTGGGACGTGTAAAAGTGCTTTTTTTGAGCCTATTTACAGAAATAAATGAGTTTAATGAGTTTTTAATGAGTCTTTTGAACTTTGAGATAATCATTCAACATGATTTCTTTTTATCGCCAATCGATGAGACATCATCCTTACGATGCGATATATTTATAGTTGCTTCAACAAGAGTCTAGCAATTACGTTGTAAAGATATCAATAGAGGGAAATAGCTTTTCATTGAAGAATCCAATTATCAAAACTTACCTACGAGTAGCTCTAGTCAGGCTTTTCTTTACGATACAGTCAGTCATATAAAATATAGGTTGTTTACAATAATGCAGACATTAACTTATAAAAAATCCCCCTCGCCCTCAGGCGGGTACTCAAAAACAAAGCGCTTCGCCTTCTGAATATTTCAACAGGTCTTCGCTTTGTACGAATATTAAGTCAATGGGGGTAATTGATCTGTTAAGGTCCTAGTGTATGAAAATCTATGCGATCAATGTTTAAACGCGCAGGTGTATTATGCATGGGGTCTTCGAGGCAGGGATAAGGTGCTCATCAAAGAGGATTGATTAGAATTAACAATAATCTCCACCCAACGTAATCGCCTAAAGGCGTATCGTTTGTTTGTATTCAAATTGTTTGCAGTATAGACGGGAAAATCAATGTGAATTTGTCTGGTTTTTTATTATTAATTGGAAAATCTGTTTAAAATTACCAATAAGCGGATAAGGTTTAGTTAAAGAATTAAAGAAGATGTTATAAGTCGGTTCGTTTTTATGAGCTAATATGAAAATAATAACACGGGGTAGCAAAGTAGCTTACATATACTTATGGTGTTTATTAGTTCACCACAATTTGCTGTTCTATAAATGTTGGTTCGTTCGTTCGTTCGTTTCACCCAAATGACGTCCACTGCTGGACAAAGGCCTCCTCCAAGGTTTTCCACAATGCACGGTCCTGCGCTGCCCGCATCCAGGCTCCGCATCAAATGTTGGTTATAAAACATTTATCAAGCAACGTTCACAATGAATGAAACAAATAAGTCAGTCTCCAAGTCTCTACTCGACTGAGTTTCCAGGGTGACCACAGTCTCAAAAACAGTGTGTGCGGTGAACCACTCAGTTGGTCGCCGGCGTATGACGCGTCCACACTTGAGGTGATTCTAGCGTTTGGCCGATTAGCGGGGCAATATTATGCAATGCAGTGTATGGTAAAGTCTCTAATCATGTAATAAATAAATGTAAAAAATATCCTAATTTGGACGTCCATTTGGGTGTCACTTGAAAAGTTTAAATTCGAGTTGCTCATTTTCATTTAACAATCTTGAAAACATTTAAAGAAAACACACAAATGTATAAATGTTTTTTCAAAGGGACGATTAAATGGTTTATTAAAAGTGTAAAGTCCAGAATTGCGAGTCCTATCTTTGGGATTTATCAAAATCAAAATACGTTTATTCGTGGAACATAGGTAAATTACATATTACAGGTGTTTAAACGATGTCTTCTTACTTTTAGTAATACAAAATGATATAAGATACAAAAAGATAAATTTTACACACTTTATTCTAAACCTCACAAAACAGAAACAATAAAAAAAAGTACCGAAGAGAAACAGACAGGCACTATTTAGGCGGTTTTCATTGGCCTCATAGCGTTGAGAAAAGATTTTATACGTTGCGTTTGCGTAACTTCAATTTACGTAAGTACAATATGTTGCAAAAAGAAGACCCAATCAATACTGCATCGTCTGCGATCACAAGTTGGTCAATAAGTGCGGATTAGGGTGTAAGCGGTCAAGTGGACTCACTTGTAGTACTTCGCAATTACGCTGCCGTCTGAAACTAATACTTCGCCCTTTAACCCTTTGCGTGACTCTAGACTTGTACAAAAGCTACTTGTGTTCAGAGTATCGCATTATATTGAAGTAATGCTAAGACGCGGTAGTAGGAGCCAGTGTTTTACTATTTTGCTGAATTAAATACTTGTTTTTGATCATCTGAAAATGAAAGGACTTTGAAATCTTAGAACACACACATACAATAAATACTTCAATTCAATGCAGTGACCTTTATACTAAAGAGTATTTAATTAGGCTTCATATCGAGTCACTCACACAGTTGCTAACAAAGACACTATATAATGTAAGTATGTACATATCTGATAAAATTAAGTACTCTGTCTTTTTTCATTTTATTTCATCTAACTTTCTATTAGCGAATTAAACAACAGAACGGAACCTACATTTTGCTAAACTATCCCATCGATCGGCGAGCAAACTTAAAGTTTGGGGTCGCAA